CGAAAATTATCCAACGCAAGCATTGGATTCGTGGGGAAGATTTGTGGTCAATGCGGAAATAATCCGCGAACAAAAATACATTTACGAGGTAGCAATTACGCTGCCGGAATTCGGACTAGAAATTACCTCAGGTCTTAGCCCAGCAAGAATCTTCGCTCCGGCAGTGAAAGTGAGCTTTCTCCCCTACGTTTTGTCGGAGAAAAGAAGCATTTCGTTCGACGAGATAGACTTCACAGAATTAATACAACAGCTTCCACTGTTATTGTTAGCAGGTCCGACTGGTAAAGTTATGTATTTAACCTGCTTCAAACTCAGCTGTCTACAATGTGATGGTGAAGTCTTGGTCAAGATTGAAAATAACGAGGGTATACTCTATATTTCGAAAGACTGGGTACAGGAATTAATTACCATAAGCAAATTGGTATTTAAAAGAATACGAGTACTGTCTCGTTTGAACTTTTACGAGTACTACGATAGAATATTGTATTTGACTATACATGAAAATTTGCTGGAAGACGCCAAAATCTTTCCGCATATAGAATATTTATGTTCTACAGAAGAGAGTGAGCAGAGCTACTGCATGGAGGACTACATGCGTTTTGGAAAAATGCAGATAAAACAAGATATCAACAAAAGGATAGCATGGGACATACCTGTGTTTTAATAGAAATTTACCTGTAAACTAATAATAATAAATGTTTTTTTAAAATTCAGTGTGTGTGTGTATGTTTTATCCTTACCCCCATAATAAATAGTAAAAAAAAACAAGTAATTGCGTAAAATAACTTTATTAAAGAAAAAAAAAATAACAACAAAATATAATCAAACAAAACATAGTACCACTGGAATGAAACCTTCAGAAATTACCCCAACAACGGAGATTCTCGCACATAATTTACCAAAAAAAAAATTTGCAGTGGAAAAGTCAAAGTTCAAAGCTGGCGATGCAGTGAGCATAATTCGCACAAAATCGGTTTTTGACAAAAGCTATGAAATTAATTGGACACCCCGAAAATTTCAAGATTGTTAAAGTAAGTGGTTCCTTCCCTCTTACGTATATTTTGGAAGATATGGAGGGGCGTTAAATCAAAGCTTCGTTTTATGAAGTCGATTTACAAAAACCGTACTACCAAATAGTCGATATCGTTGTTATTTTTTTTTCTTTAATAATAGTCGATATCGACTATTTGGTAGTACGGTTTTTGTAAATCGACTTCATAAAACGAAGCTTTGATTTAACGCCCCTCCATATCTTCCAAAATATACGTAAGAGGGAAGGAACCACTTACTTTAACAATCTTGAAATTTTCGGGGTGTCCAATTAATTTCATAGCTTTTGTCAAAAACCGATTTTGTGCGAATTATGCTCACTGCATCGCCAGCTTTGAACTTTGACTTTTCCACTGCAAATTTTTTTTTTGGTAAATTATGTGCGAGAATCTCCGTTGTTGGGGTAATTTCTGAAGGTTTCATTCCAGTGGTACTATGTTTTGTTTGATTATATTTTGTTGTTATTTTTTTTTTCTTTAATAAAGTTATTTTACGCAATTACTTGTTTTTTTTTACTATTTATTATGGGGGTAAGGATAAAACATACACACACACTGAATTTTAAAAAAACATTTATTATTATTAGTTTACAGGTAAATTTCTATTAAAACACAGGTATGTCCCATGCTATCCTTTTGTTGATATCTTGTTTTATCTGCATTTTTCCAAAACGCATGTAGTCCTCCATGCAGTAGCTCTGCTCACTCTCTTCTGTAGAACATAAATATTCTATATGCGGAAAGATTTTGGCGTCTTCCAGCAAATTTTCATGTATAGTCAAATACAATATTCTATCGTAGTACTCGTAAAAGTTCAAACGAGACAGTACTCGTATTCTTTTAAATACCAATTTGCTTATGGTAATTAATTCCTGTACCCAGTCTTTCGAAATATAGAGTATACCCTCGTTATTTTCAATCTTGACCAAGACTTCACCATCACATTGTAGACAGCTGAGTTTGAAGCAGGTTAAATACATAACTTTACCAGTCGGACCTGCTAACAATAACAGTGGAAGCTGTTGTATTAATTCTGTGAAGTCTATCTCGTCGAACGAAATGCTTCTTTTCTCCGACAAAACGTAGGGGAGAAAGCTCACTTTCACTGCCGGAGCGAAGATTCTTGCTGGGCTAAGACCTGAGGTAATTTCTAGTCCGAATTCCGGCAGCGTAATTGCTACCTCGTAAATGTATTTTTGTTCGCGGATTATTTCCGCATTGACCACAAATCTTCCCCACGAATCCAATGCTTGCGTTGGATAATTTTCGACTTCGGACATTTTTCTCACTCTGCACTTATCACGAAATTGTATGAGTGGAAACTGAATAAAAAATTAAAATTTCTTATAGCTTATATATGTATAACCCCACCCATTCCCCAGATCCAAAGCGAACGCCGCACAAACTTGTTTCGACAGGAAAAAAACCTGACGGAGAACCTCCATCCATCCCGCTTTTGTTTTAGACAAGCTCTGACAAGAAAAAAAAGTACGTATCAAATAATGCGCCATTTTAAAAGGGGACATATTATCAATAGTGAAACTATTTATATTAAGATATACCTTTATCCTCTTTGCAAATAATTTTCTACTCGCTCACAGGTAGGATCATGAAGATCCTTCAATATTTTGTTACACCAGGTATTTAGCTTAGCCTAGAATTCTTTTGAAAAATTATTATTTTTAAAAAAGGCGCGCGCTAGATCAGTTGCCGTTTCAGCGATATTTCCTTGTTTCCCGTGTCGGAGTTTATCTCTTTTCTTTTGTGCATATTCTTGTTTTAATTAAATCTTGATTATCTTTTTATGCCAATTTTGACGATCATCTAATTTTTTGTAACTAAAATTAATTCAATAGAAACAATTAAGGCGAGATGATGCCCGGCAGCTGTTGTATTAGGTATGAAAAAGTCAATTTGGATGAAGGAGATGCTTCTTTTGTCCCGACAATGTACAAGAATAAACCTGTCTAACCATAGCAAAATGGGGCCCAAAACTGTGACACTAGGCGAGAGTATGCGTTATTTGGAAGTTAAATTTTAAAAATCCTTTGTAAAATATTCACGGGGAGGGTGTCAAGGCGTCAATTTTTATAAACATCGGAGGTCAGTGTCGGAGAAATAAGGGTTCTTCCCTTTTCTCCTCGTCTCTTTTTAACTCCGTTTTGAGTAATTTGTAATAATTTGAGAAAAAAAAATCCAGTACCCGAAAAATGGACACATTTGCAAACAAAACAAAAAAAATAGGATAAAAAAAAAACTATAAAATATAGGCGCCAATGCAGGCAATAGTTTAAATACGGGAAGTTACATTTTTAAACATAAATTCAGATTTTCGGTGGCAATATAACTCTATTTTTCGTGTTTGTTAAGAACCAGGCTTTGGAAACGTCTGGTTAAGGCCACAGGCCATTAGCTTCTAAATAAACGCGAGATATCATGAAAACCGAAAAAGTTTGAATGGAATCTAACGTTTCCTTTTGTTTCTCAAAAATAGTAATTAAGCGGAAAAGTACTCGTAGTATATTGATTAATTGTAGAAATATCTCATTTTCTACAAAACAACTTAAGTTAAATAAAATGCACATTAAATTATTATAAATTACCGCTTTGTTGTATTCGCTATTTACTATGCCCCAACCTATGACGACACTGGAGGGTAGCTTAAAATTTGACCTGCTTGGTTTACCTGCCTTTCGTAGGAATGCGGGTTGTTTCACGTGTCAGTCGAAGTTTAAAGAAGCGTTTGTGTTAAGGGTTCGTTTCTGTTATACGCGTTTGTTGCTTAATGCAATATCGCCAACGAGTTTAAGTTTTGTGTTCAATGTGTGTTTCATATACGGATAAATAAAACAAAAAAGACTGGAAAAAGATAGGTAAGAAGCTTTCGGAATTGCGACTTTAATGAGTAACCGCGTAACATTTTGACCTAGTATTATGTATATGTTCGACGAGGTTTCTATACTTAATTAAAAAAAATTGGGGAGTGATCAAAGGAGGCTGAGGTCGGAGAGACGGATCTTGTTTAGTATCAATTTTTGTTTAATAAAACAACCAAAAATGCTCGCTTACGTTTTTGAAGTAGGTAAAAAGGAAACAGAATTTTAATACAAATAACGCACGATATATCTCCCAAAAAATTCAGCCATATGAACAACGCGAAGAAGTTAAGCAGATAAAATTTTACAAGATTTTTGGGGGGCCTAGTGTAAATTCGGATTGTGGAAAGTAACAGATAGAGAGAATGAGTGACCTATATAGAAAAACAGAGACAGAAAGGTAGATTTATTTAAACGTTTCTCAATCATCCACCCATCGGAGATAATAAATAACATTCGCTAGTTTTTTTTTTGCATGTATTGAGTTCAGTTCGGAATAGAAATATGTCAATAGTAACAATTTAAATATGGTAATTTTTGGGGATTGTTATACGTCCGCCAGCGTATTAAAAATATGGTTTTAGGGGTTAGAACTTTTAAGTTTCAAGAAAAAAAAACTCATGTTGAAATTTTTGTATTCGGAAGCTTCTGTTGTTTATTAATTTATAGACACTGGAAAATATAAAAATAAAACATCCTACAGTTGACATACGTGCCCTCTTAAACTCGAAAAGAGCTAATTTATCTTAGAAGAGTACGTATTTTTGGTAAAATAGATATTTTTTATATTAAATATTTGACCGATCAATGTAATTCGTCAAGCAGAAACCGAGAAGAAAAGTGACGCCTGTGGTGTTTGCTGACAATCCGACCCTGCTTCGTGTACAAATGCAATGACATTTCGGCAGGGCTATAGGCTACGAAACCTTTCAAACTCGAAAAGGACGAACTGTTTTAAAGAAAAAAGGTACTTCATTTTTGGTAAAAGTAATAGATAATTTTTTTTTTCGCTAAATATTCCACAGATCGATGTAACTCGTCAAGCAGAATCCGAGAAGAAAAGTGACCGGGGGTGCTGTTTGCTTACAATCCGACCCTGCTTCGTGTACAAATGCAATGCCATTTCGGCAGGGCTATAGGCTACGAAACCTTTCGAACTCGAAAAGGCGCTACTAATTTTGAATAGGTACTTAATATTGGGTAAAAGTAATAGATAAGATTGTTTTACATTAAATATTTGACAGATCGATGTAACTCGTCAAGCGGAATCCGAGAAGAAAAATGACGGATGTGCTGTTTGCTGATAGTCCAGAACGGCTTCGTGTACAAATGCATGGCGGGGAGACCAGAAAGTTTTCGAAACTGCGTGAGTGGAAGTCTGCGTTGGACAAATTTTGAAAATATCTGAAGGTTTAACGAATTTTGGAGAATTCGACAGAGCTACAGACTACGAAACCTTTCGAAACGAACACACGTGTCCTGTTGAACTTGAAAAAAGACGAAATTATTTTTAAAAAGGTATATTGTTGCTAAATAATGGATTTTTTTTAATTAAAATATTTGACAGATCATGGTAACTCGTGAAGCAACATCTCAGAATTGAATCGGGGAACGAGGAATCAAAAAAAGGTTAACAATTTGGATCATTTTGGAAGATACATACGCCGCGCTTTTCAAAGCGGACAGACGTGCCCTTGTCCAACTGAAACGAACACACGTGTCCTGTTGAACTTGAAAAAAGACGAAATTATTTTAAAAAGGTATATTGTTGCTAAATAATAGATTTTTTTTTAATTAAAATATTTGACAGATCATGGTAACTCGTGAAGCAACATCTCAGAATTGAATCGGGGAGTTGTGTATTTGCTGGCAATCCGGGCCTGCTTGGATCATTTTGGAAGATACATACGCCTGCGCTTTTCAAAGCGGACAGACGTGCCCGTGTCCCACTTGACAAAGGCGGAATTATTTTAGGAAAGGTATATTATTTGTAAAAAAAAAATATACAATTTTTAAGTAACATATTTGACAGACCATGGCAACTAGTAAAGCAGAATCCGAGAATTCAATCGGCGGCTGTATGTTGACTGACAAGAATATAATTGCTGTTAATCCGGCCCTGCTTCTTGTACAAATGCATAGTGGGGAGACATGAACATTTTTCGAAATTGCGGCCCTATCCTCTTGGGATTCTACGTTGGACAAATTCTGAAAACGACCCAGAAATATAATTGGTGAGAAAATAGTTTTTTTTGTTGTGTTAACAGTTAACAATTTTTTTATTTTGGAAATAAGGGGTTTCAGTGTGTACTGGTAATAGTGAATCAATTTAATGACCTCAGCATCTCTAAACCCCCCATCTTGAGACGCGTTAACGATCCGGATCGAGTTACGTCGCGTAATTGTGTCACTTTTTTAATTAAAAAATGAAAGAGATGTACCTACCATACTTTAGAAACCCCTACTCCCCTTTGGAGGTGATGAAATAAGTTTTGGCATAAAATATAAGTTCCTCGTATTACTTTGATATAAGTATAAGTCTTGCCTGTTTTTTTTTTTAAAAGGAGGTTCAAACCCGTGCGAGGTGAGGTTTGATATATGAAACAGACCAGTCATGGGGACACGAGATATGGAAAGTTTCAGCGTAGTCGTCGCCACATTGCTGCCAACACTGCATATATAAGGAATCACGAACCATTCAGGTAAAATTTTGAAAACACATATTTATGGCAATATAGAACCTCTCTTTTTTTTTAACAGGAATATTGAGACTTAGACCAGTATCTTTTTAAGTAGGCATGTGGGGTAAAGAAGACGCAGAAGCTTCAGTCGGGTACCATCGGTAACGTAGGCGATTGATATATTTCCACCACTACATATGTTGGATTGGAATTTCCCATTTGATGCTTTGACTGACTAAATGAGGAAACTTGGAGGTAAGCTCTTACGGAATTCTATCGAAATATGTTTAGTAACATATTGGTGCATTACTCTGTCTTCCAGTCAGTTTCACATAAACTTTGCACGTATTATAGAAATGCCACCTAGTTTTTTTGTGTTAATATTATTGAAAGTAGTAGCTGGTAGCTGTAGTCGTAAGCCCAGAGAGTCTCTGTTTTGAACATAATACACAAAATTGGGCGTTCAAAAACAATAGACTGCATGCCTTTTAGAGTCGGCGTAAACTATGGTCATATACCCCTGATCAAATTCAAAACTACAAAATCGTTGTGTCTCTGCATTAAAAATAATAGTAAAATTTATTGTAGGCACCTAGTAGAGTATCGAAAATTTCCATTTTTAGTGCCAAATTGGTTACTCCAGTAAATTCCAACTGTTCTAATTTTTTTTTTAATAATTTATGATGTTAGTGAGTTTCATTGCAATTATTTGTTACTTAAATTTTCTGCGTATTAAACCATAATTAACAATACGCTATTCGTTAACGCAGGTAGAATTAATGACGCTGACTGACCTGATTTTGTCCAGGGGGGCGTAGTACGGTAGTTTGTACTGTGATGTTTGGTAGTTTGGCAGTGAGCTCTCATTTATGAAACTGGGGAATGTTTCGTTATCTTCAAATCGTAAACACGTATCATTAGAATTATATTTTTAAAATATTGATTAGGACATGTACTAAGTAACTAAATGCTCTAGCGAAAATATTCACACATATTGCGGAAAACGTACAAATTTAAATTAGAGAAAATTAACTATTTTTAGAGGTTGGTTTTTCAAAAAGGTGGGGATTTAGTTAAAGAACAGATAGAGACTAAAGGGAAGCTCTATGAGAAAAGTTAGAATTAAAAAGTCGATGTTTTCGTGTCATAGCGAAAGATGGATTATTATTAAAAATAATACTTGCATTAATTGTTGTCACCATTTGTGAAAAATATGGAAAATATCCTCTAGGTTCGCATACCTTTTTTTAAATTTTTTTAAGGTGGCTAACAAAATACACAGACAGAAAAGTTTAGATCCTGTTCGTTAATGTAGCGCATAGAAAAAAATTAGAAAAGAGAACGTTTCGTGTATGGCATACGTAGTTAGTACGGAATATTAATCTGAAGGCTGCAAGACAGTGAAAGAGTGATGCGCTTAAGTGTGGTTCAGAGGGGTTATTTGGGCTGTAGAAGTTTTTCTTTGAACAGGGTTCAAATAGCGTCTCCTAGAGCGTTAGCAGAGAAGAGTATTACAGTATTTAATATAAGCGTCCAGATTTCATTATTGTTGAGATTGCATAGAAACACACTTTCATGTAGTAGTCGCAGCAGCTTTAAAGTATATGACTTTTTAGTTAAGATGCCTTTCGAGTTTGCTTTATGGCTTGATAGGAAATTAAAGGGTAGATACAGATAAGTTACGAAAAAAAGTATGTACACTATCCTCAAAGATCAGCAATAAATAAAAGAAATTGATGAAATAGTAAAGTTGACTGCGATATCTTAAAATCATCAATAAGATAGATAAATTAAATTAATTTTGAAAATATTAAATAATAAAAACAAATAATAAAAATAGCAAAGAAAATCAAAATCATCAATAAGATAGACAAATTAATTTTGTAAATATTAAATAATAAAAATAAAATTATAATAGTAAAGAAAGCCTACCACGGCCACATACACATAATATTTTCGACATATGAACTTTTCCCAGATAAATAGTCAAATATTTCACGATACCTTAAAACAGAAGCATGCGGAAATATGTATGAAGTTAACGCACGGTAGATTGCTTAGTAAATTAAAAAGGTATATGGTTTCTAATATCCTACTTTATTAATGAAAATTTTAACCAGCTTTTTGTTTTGCAGATATTATTGGTGGTGCCTGCCAGCTTCCAGTTCCGAGAAAAGAAATCCAACACTTTTCGTCTTTATTTCCCCTGTCCTTTGTGCGCAATAAAAGTACAGTTTGTACCCGCGTGGGTACACATTCGCAGAACTATATGTTTTTAAAATAAATGTTTTGGTCAATATTCACTAGGTGGGGTTACCTTATTAAAGAAAATCTTATTCCAAGAGGGGACACTAGTTTACATTCGAACCGCTAGAGGGTGCAGATGGTCACGCGAACAATATGATCAAGTCTCATTGACGCCATTGCTTTTCTTAGGGGTGGGAAAATATCTGGGCTCTGATTGGCTTCGCCGCCATCGCAAACTAGAGGTGGGGAGATTGATTAAACCCCATTGGTGCTTGCTTATCCAATGGGAGCCAGTTTCAAGGGATTATGGGTAAAGGGGGAGGAGCTAGAGAGTCGTGGGTAAGGAGGACACCCCACAAAAAGGGAGAGGAGTGGGGGAAGCCTATATTATACTTATTCACTACTAATGGTTCCAACATAGGAGCAGAGAATTAAAAGCAATAATTGTGTCCAACTTAGAAGATGATTGGGACTCATCAGCTGGAGCTCAACATCTTTATTAGTAGAACAACCGTTTTTCTCATTATTACAGGGTGAAAGGAAAAGGGGATCTGGCGGAGAAACATTTAGTTCAGTTCAAAAAGATCAGGCGCTCCTTCCGATAGTCGAAAATGACCATTTCCAAAGCGCGAAAAATGCAAGAATTGTCGAAGAATTAAAGCATCGCATTCGCTCCCCAACAGAACTATCAAGCGCAAAAGGAGCAGTTTTGGGATTAAACGATCTACCAATCTTCCAAAACGTGTAAAATCAGTGTGTATAGACCAGACAACCAGCGTTTGACCCCTCGATTTGTCGACAGGTACAGAGCTGCAGGTCATTTCAGTACGTATGAGATGGCGGATTGAGGGAATGTCCTGTTCAGACTGCAAACATCGTTACACAGTAAATGAATGAAACTGCTGTAGCGGAGAAATTTTATTCCTCAAAGCAGAGAAGAGCTGTGGCAATTAAATCAGGAAGTATGGGAAGAATTTTCGCTTCGTAACTCCTTTTATGACCATCAGCCGAAGACTTGAAGCTGTGATTGATGCGGATGTAGATTGCACAAAACATGAAGTGTTTCTTCTTGTTCCGCTTGTGTTAAAAATGTTGCCCCTGCTGTTAAATTAGCTAAATTTTTTGCACTTACCAAAACCTAATTATTTTGATTAAAAAGTTGAAAATATTCTTTTTATTTTTAAAATATATAAATGTTGAATCTGTTTAGTCTAAGCGTTTTTTAATGATAAAACTTGCGAGAACCAACGATAAACAATAAAATTGAACAAAATACCATAATACTCGTACAACATGCATAATATGCATTTATCAAAGAGGATGTCTTTTATTGTTTACGATAATTTCTTGTTCTTGAACAACCATTTATTTGGTACCAGATCTCCCTGGTCTTCTAGGGGGGTGGGGGTACAATTTGATTTTGTAATAAGTCTAAATAGGTTTCTGTTGTGAGGTTATAGTCCATAAAAAAATACGATAATAATACGATGTCAGCAAATTCCCACCATAACGATATTCATTGTTTTGGCCCCAATACTGACAGTTTTGAGGATTTTGTTCGTTGTTGACCGTGAATTCATCAGTGAAACAAATATTTTTAGAAAATTTCAAAACAAAATGCTATTCTTTCTTCATGGCCTTTCGGGAGCTCTTGGTGCCTTTTACATTTATAGGAAAAATATTTGGGATTAATTAATGTGCGCATTCTGGCTTTATGTTTATTTACAGCTTGTCCAAGAATCCTCGTACTAATCATTTTATTTCCTCCACATGCAGTAACTTGTTCAAATCTCTAATGTTCCTTTCTCATGCTCTATTACCGACATTTTCTGGTGAATATTTGCAGTCTATTGCCTTTGGACTCGAATTGGATGATAATACGCTTAGTTGTTGAATTCGAAGGTATTGTTTTAGCAGGAAAATAAACTTAAAACATTTCCACTCTCTGACTGTTTCGTGCATAATACCACTTAATTACGTTTACTTTTTTTTCAATCGATCAACGCATATTTAGCATTAATTAAATATTTAATAACGTTACTGTCACGTATTTTTGTATCGTCTCTGTCAAAATGTGTTTGATTTATTACCTAAACCACAATTTTTTTCTAATTTTGCTATCATATTTAATTCGGTAACTGAAGATTGACTTATTGAAATTTATTCAAATTCGGCACATGAGTTAATCATAAAGTTATATTACAACTTTGCCATAAGGTGTAGGTACAGAAGAGCCAATATTTGGGCACGTAAAAATTTACATGGTATAACAAAACAACTAGTTGAACTTTTAAGAACCAAATGGTATGATAAAAAATTTATTTCGTAGACGAAGTCATTTTAATCCTGTTCGATATGGGCCGAATTAAAAACAATGTGAGATGTAATAATATACATACCCAAAAATGTCCGCTATGAATAATTCACACACTTACGTTGTCGAAATAACAGTCGATTCCTTCAGGAGCGAGTTCTTTCAGAGCTTCGTCCACGTTCTGCGTCTTGTAATTGATAAAGTGATCGAATTTTAAGTCGTCCACCAGCCACTTGCCCTTTTCGTCAGACCCTGCGATCCCGATGACCTTGCAGCCTTTAATCTTAGCGATTTGACCGACTTGGTTTCCCACCGCCCCCGCTGCTCCCGACACCACCACAGTTTCCCCAGATTTCGGTTGACAAATCTCCAGAAAGCCGAGGTAAGCGGTGTTCCTAAACGGAAGACGAATTACGAAAGCTATGGCGATTATACAATATTTCGAGTTATAGTTTCTTAATTTCCAATTTACCACAGAAATGGTATTAAGGATAACGCTTCCTATCATTGTTATAAATTGAGGTCTCCGAAAGAAACATTTTCGGTGACTACACCCCCTTGAAATCGAAGCTGCTCGAAGTTGCCCGCGCATACAGAAAGTATGACGAATATAAAGGTGAAGAAATTGCTGCGCAATACGAGGCAGATGTTTTACGTGAGCTTAACCCTATCTAGATGGTATGGAATCGAGTAAAGCGATACGTGGCAATGAACAACTCCGATTTGAATACAGAACATGGTGATTCCTTAATAAGCATTTCAACAAGTTACAGAACAAAATTCGAGTAATTATATTGAAAATATCAAGGAAAACAACGTAAAGTAAATGTGGTCCGCTGGATAATCTTATTATTAGTCAAAATTCTAGCGACAATTCCGAGAGCACATTGGTATTTTGAATCCAATCCAGTTAGCATTTTTTATGTTATTTGTAGCAGAACGCCATAGTAGATCAACGAAATCAACTAAAAATAAGATACTTATAATCAGTTAAATATGAAACAGACTTCACTTAATTTCGAAAAACAATGATGATGACAATATATTTTTTAAAATATTGATGTCTTATTAATATATAAATATTATGGTATTATAATGTTAGGTCGATAATTGGCTATAACTCATCTATTAAAAAAATAGAAAATGTGTCAAAAACTTACGAGACCGTCACCTTTTAATTATATTTGTATTAACTATCCATTTGTTTTGTTTATTCAACCATGTTCTAAAAGTTATTTGAAGAGAAACAAATGTATTAGGTTACATAGATGCAACGCCGTCATCATCTTACAAACACAGAAAACAAGCAGTAGAGGTAGCAAAATCTACTGCCTAAAAAATAAAAAAAAATGCAAATACCATCCATACAAGTTTAAGAGTGTTCAACATTTGTATCTTGATGATGCCCAGCATCGGATGCAGTTTTGCCACTGGTATTGGTATCAAATACGAATCAACTTCAATTTCAATCAAATCAATTTCGGGACTTTTTAATCGCCATAACACGAAGAACTGCTTTACAGAAAACGACTATTTGATTTGTGAAAGGGTCCAATAAGGACGCTTTGGGGTTGGGGTATCGTGTTTTATTTTATAACAACTATAGCCCACCGAAATTGTAGGAAAGAGTTCCAGAATTCCGAGAATCTGAAACCAAATCTTCTCAACTTAATTGAAAAATGTCTCTCTGGAACATATTTTTCTTGGTCAAATTTATGAACAGGCTTCGGGAGCAGCTACGGGTTCTTCATTAGATATCTTAATGCATAGTTATATATATATATATAATATAACGTTAAAACCAGATTTACCACTTGTCCAAAAATCTCTCAACATCTTCGATCCGTCAAAGACAAGGTTCCGTTTGAGATACCAGGAGTTTACAGGATTATATATATATATATATATATATATATATATATATATATATATATATATATATATATATATAGAGTCAAAGAATACATTGGAGAGACTGGACGAAAAATATCAACAAGGCTCAAAGAACATAAAAAGGCCTTAGGACTACGACAAATAAACTCAGTAGCTATTGCCGACCACAATCATGATACCGGGCATCCGAAAATCTATGGAAATATATAAGCAACCAACCAATATTAACCACGATTCAGGCCTTTGACAAATATTGCAAACAGTCATAACAATGTTCATGCCCCTCTTTTACCTCCTCCCCCTTCAAACAATAGATAAGCAGACAGAATAAAATGCGAGCCAGTTGCAGTTAAGCTCTGAAGAAGCCAACAGGATCATTGACGAAACAGCAGCAAGTTTGCAACTTGGTGTCAAATACTAGTGTCAAAATACTGTCTAAAATGTAACAAAAACATCCGATAGAAATCCATACCCGTGAATAAAATATCGGACACCAAAAATGGCGCAGCTAAAAAGGGTTTTCTTATTCTTCGACGTTTTGTAAGTGTTTGCAACTTGGTTAAAGTTTTTTAATGCCCAAAGAAATAATGGCGAGTAGTTTTCTGAAAAGCATGGAAATATTGGAGATGTAAAATCAGGATCCATATATTTCTGAAATTTGAGAGTGAAATATAGTAGTGCAAAGAATTTTGGTGTAGGGAGAAAAAATTTCTATTACTTTAAAATCTTTGAAATGAAGGCGGTGTTAAACATCTACCGGAATATTTGATATTTTGATTTTTTACCAACTTTGTATATAACCTTATTTCAGCATATTGTTCAGATTCTGCTGTCTAAAGTTTTCTCGGTTTCTTCAAATAAAAAACGGTGCATTTTATTAATCAATTTTACTGTTAATCAAGGGTTTTTAACATACAAATAGAAGATTCTATGAGAAAAATGATACAATTGCTGGTATCCGGGCAATAGCAGATTCGATGCATATATAGAGCCACAGATAAGGCGCAATATATAGTTTTTGTTTCTAAAGTTAAGCTCCGATGACGATCATTTTTTGTTATCGAAACATGTCAGTTTGACAGTTTTTCTTTGAAAAACTTGGAAAAAAACGGCTTTGCCGATTGTTTGCAACTCGTTGCAAATTCAACACTTACCCGGGCGTTCCCAGTGCGCCAAGTGCAAGCGATATGGGCAATTTTCCGAAATCTGGCAGAACATAAGTTGGCATGGACGGCCATCCGATGGTCGCGTCGCTTACGATTGAGTGAGTCCTCCAGCCAAACATACCGGTGATGTATTTGCCCACGGGAAACTTTGAGTTTTTACTTTCTTTTATGCTAGGCAAAAAAGTAACGTCAAACGAATAATACAAAAACAAATACCATGAATTTGTTATTTAATCAGTAACCTATACCCTCAGTGAAGTGGCTTAAAATGGAAACAAGGTCACCAAGTAGTATTCCAGAAAAATCTATCATTCCTACTCTTATGATTTCTTAGGATTTGGAAATGAAGGTGACTTTCTACAAGGTTTCTACTGCGAACATTCGGGGCTTCCAATATAATTTGAGAATTTAACATTTTCGTAGCAAAATTCAAGGCGTGGGAAATATATTCGAAAACATCCGATTGCTCCGAAATCCGTGCGGTAAAATCTCGGAAATGTCCGAAGTGGCTCGGATCCGTGGGAAACGAAACTAACGTGGTAAAGTGACACTTCCTACATCGGTGTGCAATTAAGTATTTTACAGACGGGAGTAGAAAAATATATTTCTTTGATAAAATTCAAATGAACTATTTTAGAGTTAAAAACGAGAAGGTTCATAAATATAAAACTACCTACAATGAGCTACCGCTTAGTAAATTAGTCTCAGTCGGCCTTAGATACTAGCTGAGAACTGTTATTGCTTGTGCTAATCAAGAATCATTTAACAACATGCCAACAGAAAACATATGACGTGACCTTTTTACTATGGTAAAATATTTTTCAGGCATTTTCCTTAAATCCTATTGATGCCAGAAGTCAAATAAATTCTTGTTAAGTAAGAACTGGTTGTCTTTTTTCCATTTATGAATAACATTTAACTTCTATTTAATTGTTATACGTTTGAAAAAGTTTATCGCCATGTACTTACATCGCCACTTGCGATCCAATGAACGGCGTGTCTAGACGCAGATTAGGAGCATGGGCTCGCATGTAGGGATCGACGCTAAGATAGACGGCTTCAACCAAACATTCTAAACAATGAAAAATGGTAAGTTACCAGGTACATTCTATTTCAAGACGAAATATATTGACTTGAAAATTTTCTCGATTTTTTCAATGTGTGTATATTGTACCGTTTTTCTTTCCGCTGTCACTGTTTGGTGATTTTTGTATAAATGTGTCAAATTAGTTATATGTTAGTTGAAATTATATACAGTGTCCTCACTGAATAAGTTTTGGCAAAATTCTATAGCTTGTGCATCAAAACAATATCAATTTACTAACGTTTATAAATATTTGGGATTATTGGGATAAATTGGGATCTTTATATGAAAAATGTTTAAAAATTAAGCTATTTTGCAAATGCAGAAAATGTTGTTCACCATCCAGGACTACGTTCTGCCAATGTGGAAGATCGTTTACTCAAGCATGTCACTTTTGTGTGATGCGATTCGATCTTTTAGGACCCGAGAAGTCTGTCCTACGTAATATTTTTCACGGAATAGGATACCCCTGATTTCTTTAACGGTGGACCAGAGTCCCTCAATCGACTGTGCACGTTTCCAATATTTTTTGTGAATTTTTCCGTCCATCTTAAGTGTCTCTCATCTTTAAAGACTGACATAATTAACGGACTGACGGACCGTACGGTATGAGAAAAGATTTTCAGCTATCTCATTGGTTCGATTTTTTCTTTCTATTTCTATATTTACAATATTTTCAACTCTATGAAATATGTTTCGCCCTGCTTGGATGTCGATACGCTTATTTGTGCTCTAATTAAATATCAACCTGCTCAAAAAATAAGCATTTTTTACAAAAATCGCAAACAGTTTTTGTAAATTTGCCTGTAACCGAGTGGGATGACTACTGTTTTGAACTCTGTTTTTTTGCGCTAATATTAAATTCGTTTTCATATACAGGGGATGCTCAGAAAAAAAGAATGGGAGCCGGTATGAGTTAAACTCAGAAGAAGACAACGGAATAATTGCCGAACCGTCACCAAGTTTGTCTGTAAAAGTTTTTTTGAAAACAAATAAATCAATAAAAATATATTATTCTTCAAAACTAATTGTAGTAACGCCGCTGTCATAATACTGAATGTATTATTAAGGTTGCAAATGATGTTTTATTTTAAAATAAAACATTATTGGTTAGTTTCTTTTTTGCCGTCCCAAAAAACGGTGCAAAATTAGCTAGTACCTGGCACTTTTAATTTATTTAATCACTAACTAGGAAACGACTAAGGACATACAGAATAATCATTTCTAATTATCAAGATTGCCATGAAAACAAATTTGGTTTTTATTTAAACAAACGCTACGCATCTTTCACGTCGTTATCTCGTTCGTTTAAATTAATTAAATATTTATTACAGTTAGTCCTATTTAAGCTCATCTTAGTACTGATTTATTTAAGTTCCTAAATAATTAATAAGGATGGTTAATCTTTAACAATTTATTAGAATTCGGTTAATTACTAATAGAATAAAAAGTGATTAAACTAAATATTACTAAATATTTTGCTATTTGGAAGTATTGTAAAAAAAGTAATAAATAATAATATTTTATTTTTATTTTTCATGTCATTTAATATCCCAAAGAATTATTGATTATTTTATTTGTTAAATTTTGGATATTTAGATAATTAGCAATTCTTTACCTCCGTCTTTCAAAGGTGGCAGCTCTTCTTCGACCAGTTCCAAATCGCCAGGCTTTGGCAGACCATCGAAGTGCTTCCGAAAAATGAACACTTTTGACTTGACCATTTTGGAAATTCGGGTTCGGCTCTCAGAAAAATATAAAAAAATATATCGCTCACTCCAAATGATGCCGCTTGACGGTATAGGTATGTATACACGCGAAACAATCAATTTCGCGTTTATCGTCTGAAGAGGATCGACCTCGGAAAAATTAAGAGTTCAATAAATTTTGTAGGTAAATTGACGACAAACATACAGAGTGTTTCAAAAAACGCTCCGCTAATTTGTAGGATAAATAAAATATTAAAAAATAACTATGCCTAAACTTTCATTGGTTTCCATAACCTAGGGCACTAGGTGATAAATATTTTTCTATTCCCGTCTGTAAAATACCTAATTACCCCTCGATCTCGAGTGCGGGAAGCGTCGCTTTACCACGTCAGTTTCGTTTCCCATGAATCCGAGCCACTTCGGACATTTCCGGGATTGTACCGCGCGGATTTGGAACCAATCGGATGTTGTCAATTCTGACGGTCATGTCAGTGAATGTATTCGTGTTGTTTTGCGAAACTGTACCCAACAAGTAACGGTCGTAGAAAAAGTATAGTATGCGACACGTTCGATAAACCTTTTAACTCACTCGTTTATTAAAAACTCGCTCCGCTCGCGTCAAATAAACTCGTGAGTCAAATGACGTTTACCGCACTTGTTGCATAACATACTATTCCTGGTAACATATTGCAGAAAGTGACTTCAATAAACACAAATTTAATTCTCTGCCTTAAATTCCCGTCTGAGATATTATAAAAATACGCATGCAAAAATGTGTAAGATCTTTGGCTTATTTGGTTTGAACACTTATTTGTTGTCTCATTTCCCTTTTCTATATTTCTTGTATTGTAAGAATGAGTTATATTTATTTTGTAGTTCGGTTTTTGTTTTAACATAGAACATTTCAACGTCCTAAACAGTGGTACAGAATAACAATTTCTAGTTTTTTGGAAAACTATTTTTGAGAAATGTTTTTACATAATTTTTGTTTAAGATGTACATCCAGTACTCCTCTCTATCCCAAAATACCATATTGTCACCGTGACTACACTAATGCATAATAAATTGTTAACATTTAGTTTTAATTTAAAATTACTCTAAAATATTTGAATTTGTAAGTCTTAAGTTGTTTCCTACAGTTTGTAAATGTTTGTTCCATTTTAATTGTATATACATTGTTATTCCTAAGCATTTTATTTTTGCGGGAGTTCGAGCAACAAATTTCCGAATTTGCAATTCCTGTCGCTTTCATTTTGGCTGTGCCTTGGCCTAACCTGGAGCGCTACATCCCCGTAGTGATAAAATGTACCAAGTGGTCCAATGCACTTGTGAATGATTGCCTTGGGGCAGCATTTCAAATTCAATAAGTGGATAACACTCACTTAGCAAAAGTGTTATTGCAGAGGGATGGCGGAGTAGTAGTCGTGGCGACCTGAAACAACATTGGCAAGTAACACACAAAACGGGTGACTAACTAGGCTGAAGATTGTAGCTGCGTGGTTCTAAAGTTAATACGAACTCAACTATAGTTCGTATTGAAGGGAATGCAACTTTACTTGATAATCGACATGAGAAAGTTTACCGGGCAGACCGAGGGGAAATCAACAGTCACTAAACATGCCCAACACTCATATGTTTCTGGAACCGAAATTTTGAAAAGTTACATCAACAAAATCCAACGACAACTTGAAAAGTTGCTGTCAAAATTCACGGATCTACTAAAATTAGTTTGAACCCATCCTTGCACAGTATAGAAGAAAAGAAGAAGAATTATGATTTAAATAAAAATAAAGGATTTATGCTCGGATATATCGCCACCATAAATACAAAATTATCATCGGAATCAGACCCTGTAGATTGAAATTAATAATACTGACATAAATCGATCATCGTAAACTGTCAATTTTAGTTTGTAAGTACACTGTATGGTGGAAACCACCTATATAGGTAATAAAATTGAGTAAAATAATTTAATCGCATTTTATAAACTAATTTGCTATCTGAGCCGTGTTTACACTTGCATTTTAACCTCCCGCTTTATTTGGATAAATGTTTTGGCCGCTTTCGGGTGTTCGTCGCCGGTGCCTCCGGTGAACACCACAAATGATAGAATGTTCAAATGGCAGACTTTGCAATTTGACAGTAAATACTAGATAACTATTATCCGAATGCGAATTGCGGTTGCTAAATCCACACAGGACACATGAATTCCTATGAATCCGGTCAATTATTGTTTCCAAAAAAATATAGGTTAAAATTTTATCGAAGGGTCCTCTGCAACCCGCATTCAAAAGAATAATTTTTATTAACCCGTGAGTATCTTTTGAATGTTTTGTTGTCATTATCGCCCCCTATTTATTACAGCCACCGGCTAAGGTAAAAGTTGACGTCTATCAAATCCAATTTATGAAAATTTTGTGAATGACAATGTCCACAACAAAATTCATTTTTTAGCAAGATAGGTAGGGTTTACAGCTGATGATGGGAATAAAACTGATTATAAGCCGACTGAATTCACTGTGCAATTTGTTCTGGCCAGTTGCGAGTGAGCCTTGGGATAACACACATTTATGGGCCCCCACTCCTAGCCTACTTTACAAAAAAGATGGGGCATTTCCTATAGCCACATGAGAATCATATAAAATTGTACTTATGGTGATACAAAAATTCTTTAAATCTACAGCATCATGGACTTGGTTTCTGGACTTACGAAACCAGAGAGGCCCAGAAATGTCCCTAGTGGTCCCATCAGAACTGGCGTAGCAAAAAATATTTGTACTGATTGTTCTCTTTTATGATGTAAATCTGTTCAAATGGTTGAAATGAAACAAAAATTTTAAGCATAAGCATTTTAATAATTATTCCCAAAACATACTATTTTCGCCATAATTATTTTCCATCCACATTTCCTTGTATTTGACATACAATCCACAGTGCCTTGTCCAAGTAAAATAGTATAATAAATTTTTTATTTTTAGGACAATGGCAACCTCTGCCTTTATACACCTTATTAGGAGTTGCCAGTAATTTTTTTAATAAACGTCAAATATATTTACTTAAGACTTCAAAAATTACCACTTTGATATATACATATTGTTATTTAATATTTATTGGTGGTTCCTATTAACTTATACAAAGGTAGAGGTTACCTTACGAAAAAATATAAAATACTTGCCAATATCACAAAAAAATCAATATTTATATTTGATGAAGGGTTTAACAAATTGGTTAATATCCTTTCATACAGGATCTTGAGACAAAAATGGCTCATGCCAAGCTTTGTTGCCAAACTGTATAACCAAACTAATATCTAGGTCGCTCGCTTGCTTCCAGAACTCTAGTCGTCTTTCAGTTCTACAGGTATATTCGATTGCCTTCACCTCTGCTTAGAGGTGCATACTGACTTGAAGGAAGTAAGGCACCTGTGGCATTCCTGAAATTACGCTAACATAATTGAAATTTATTAATACTTATTAGATTCAGTCATGGAGTGTAATGTACTTCACATTTCTACAAATATTTTATTTTCCTGATACTTGATGTTTTGTTTCTGGGCATCTGAGATATCTTTATGCAATAACTCGAATATACATATATTTATTAACCTTTAATCCTTTAAATTGAAAAATGTTATAAAATACCACGTTTCTGGACTAAACATGCAAAATGCCTATTTTGTGAGCTACTATAAAATATTTTACCTCGTTCCGTTACACCTTCTGCATGAATAAGATATAAAGTCGTCGTGAAAAACTATTTGTTAAGGGGTTATGTTCCTGTTCTGCATTACCCTATGAATTTACTACCCACAATTAACTGAATTCCTGTTTAAGAAAAGTAATAAAATGTTAACTTAGTAAGATAAATCATTTTAAATAAGTTTCAAGCTTGACATCCCTATAAAAATCGCTGGTTCTAACCTAAACATTCTGTCACTCGACTACGTATGTCACGACTCAGCTGTTACAAACCACCCCCGCCCTAAACCGAACGCCGTTCGGGATTTTCAATCATTTGAACATTCGATCTTTTGCTACCATCCCGTTTTCCCCATTAGTCGAGGCTAGCCGAGCCTAGCCGACGACTACTCGTTTATTTCGAGGCGGCGACGATAAGAAAATTCAATTAAATAATTAAATAAACACGCTTCGCTAAAATTTACAAAATATTGAAATGCGCGAATTAAATAAACACATTTTTATTAACTTACTATGTATCTAATACTGATAAAAAACGTACGTAAATGAAGCATTGATATTCCATATTTGCTAATGTGATGAAATTTTGTTTAAATTCATCAAGTGTAAACCGATAATTTTCGACGAATATGGGTGGTTCTCTTCCTATTAGATTTTCCAGGCCGTATCTTCCGCAAAACATACTAGTACTATTTTCTTTTTCAGCGTTTCAGCGTTGGGAACAGTGCCGTAAATGGCATTTGACTCACGAGTTTATTTGACACGACCGGAGCGAGTCTTTAATAAACGAGTGAGTTAAAAAGTTTACCGAAGGTGTTGCATACTATACTTTTTCTACGACCGTTAGTTTTTGGGTACATTTTCGCAAAACACGAATACATTCACGGACATGACTGTCAGAATTGACAAACGTCAAAATTCAAAGCGTGGGAAATATGTCCGAAAACATCCGATTGCTCCCAAACCCGTGCGGTAAAATCTCGCAAATGTCCGAATTGGCTCGGATTCGTGGGAAACGAAACTGACGTGGTAAAGCGACGCTTCCCGCATGCTAGATTGGTGTGTAATTGGTATTTTACAGACGGGAGTAGAAAAACTTTATTTGATTTAGAAGGAAACGGGTGAAGATAATCCCTTAACAAAAAACAATAAGTTAAAAAAACGATAAGTGGCATTTGCCGCACAAAAAATATCAGACCTACCTTATGTAGTCTTTATGAAATAAATACTACTTGTTTTTAATACATTTAATACTTCGATCTAAACATTACATACACGGCGAAGAGTTGTACTGTTACATTCAAAGCTTTTTAATAACGGAATGACCCAAGCCTAACTTTATCCTTTGGTAGGCCTCTAAAAGTAATATAAAACTAATAGTGTTTACAATATGGAAACACGGAGTTGAGACGCCGACGATATCGCGATATCGTTCTGTGTGAATGACGCGACGGCACTTAACAAAAGACCAGGCAAACGTCCGGTAAAGTGTATATACGGCGATATAACAGGCCACGTTCTCTTAATATGAAAAATATCTCACATTACACAAGATCTAGAAAAATAAGAACTATTGGGTGAGATTCCGGCCCACAACTATTTCCGTGTCCGGCGTTACCGGCTGTAGCTCGATACGATAATCGTTTAATGGTGGGGGCGCTCTCTATCAAATTATAATACAAGTCGCAGCAGCAAATAGAAATATAGAAACCGCTACCGCTCATCATTTGTTTCGCTACAAGGTAGCATGTTCCTCGTGCGATTGGAAAAGCGTGATTCTGTATATAAAAGACTGTATCCCATTTAGGGAAT